CAATAAGTGATATGGACCACCTCTGGATGAATTTTAGGTCGAGGTCAGGTCAAGGTCAGGTCAAGTGAGGTCAAATTTTGAAGTTGGTTGTTAAGGCTTAAAAAGGTGTCTATCTGATGCAGTTTTTCACGGCAAATCGAATGGTGCTATTTTTGTTTCCGTACGAGGTCTAGAACTTCCAAAAAAGTCATTGTTCAAAAATTTTGTGTGTCGTGACGTCATAAAATTTCGAATAACTCCCACATTTTTGAACCGATTCTTCTAAAATTTGGTATGTAGGTGCAAATAGACCACTTCTCTGACATATATTCCGGTTTTTTCGATAGGCTCAAAATTTTGGATTTTATAATGATTTTCCCAAAAAAGTCAGTCTTTTGAAAAAAATTTAGGCCGAAATCCAAAATTAAAAAAAACGAGATAGCCATTTGATAGATAAAGTAAAATTACGTATAACCTTTTTTGTTACGTCTTGATCCCTTTAAAAATGAAGATGTTAGCGGCGTTTGAACTTTTGCCGTTTTTGAGGCGAAAATGGCGAACATGACGTCACTAAAACGTCAATTTCTCAAAAAATTTCCAAAATTTTTAAAAAAAAACGAGATAGCCATTTGATAGATAAAGTAAAATTACGTATAACCTTTTTTGTTACGTCTTGATCCCTTTAAAAATGAAGATGTTAGCGGCGTTTGAACTTTTGCCGTTTTTGAGGCGAAAATGGCGAACATGACGTCACTAAAACGTCAATTTCTCAAAAATTTTCCGACGGATTTCGCTCAAATTTTCAGGGAATGTGTCAAATTGATGTAAGAAAAGGTAATGAAAGTTTGGCGGCGCTGCGCGCCGCCGTTTTTGAGATATCGCAAAAATTCGCGAGGGGGGGGGTAAAATTTACCTCCCCCAGCCCCGCGTGGGTTAACCCGCGCCCTGCTGGGGGGTGTTTGAACACCCCCCTTGTGGTTTTTCGCGAATATCTCAAAAACGGCAGCACGGAGCGCCGCCATTTTTGGTACACTTTATCATACATCAATTCTACACATGTTGTGAAAATTTCAGACCAAGGTCATACAAGGTCAGGTCACCAGGTCACTTGAAGTGACCTCACCTCATAAAAAGTTTCAATGTCTGTCATAGCTACACCGAGTGACCGATCGCTTTGAAAATTTCAGCGATTGCTAAGAGCAATAGCATGCACAAAATGTATATCTCAGAATTTTGCTATCGATGACCTAAGGTCAGGTCAATTTTGCGACCTCCCCATTATAAGTCAATGGGAGAAAATTGAAATGCGCCTCTTTTGGACAAAAGACATTATAAACACTCCCAAACACCGAATTACAAGTGGTTTAGACACACTGAACATGAAAATGGTGTCCGTGACCCTTGTTTATGCCCTGAGGTCATCTTAGGTCACGAAAGGTACCTAACAGTTTTTCGCAAATAACTTTTGACAGAGGCATGCTAGAGCGATGAAAACGCCTTAGATGTGTTCAGCTTGACGATAGGGATCGACTGATATGCAACATGACCCTTTCAGGTCAAGTCATGACCTTGACCTGAGGTCAAATTTTCAAGTTGACCTTTCAAGGTCAACTTATAGTTCATTCGATGCGTCTTGACGAGAGGAACACAATGCCGGTAAAAGCAAGCTCGTACAAGACTTGGATCAAAAGTTATTGCAGAAAAACTGTTTCCGAAAAAATCGGCTATTTTTGCAGTTTTTGCCCCCTGCAGGCAAAACCGTTGACGTTAGGTCAAATAAGAGAGGATTACTCAGAAAGGGCTTTAATAGGGCTATCGAATGCGCTTTTCCGCGGCGCTGTAGCTCTATTGGTTCTCGAGTTATGCGTTGGCTTCTTGGAAATTTTCGACATTCGACGTGGAAATCGGCGAAATTTTGCCTTCAATGACCTCTGGTGACCTGACCTTTGACCTGACCAAAAAATTGACCGAAGTGATTTCGTTATTATTTTTGACGCTCTTTCGAACGCCGCCTTCCGCGTATCGCTACGTGGCCCAGGAGCCGAGTTACAAGGGGGGGGGGTGTTCAAACACCCCCCCCCCCCAGCAGGGCGTGGAAATCCAGGACCCCCAGCCGGGCGCGGGTTAACAGGTGATAAAGCAAATGTTATGAACCAACTATCCAAAGATTGATTATTAATATCCAAAGTAACACATCAACATTTCCCAGTCGGTCCGCTTTGGATAATAGGGAACAATAAAGCTATTGGACACTAAGGGCGGAATTCTCGTAATTTCAGGAATACGTCCAAATTCGCCTTGTTTTGTTCTGCAGTCATAAACATTGCTGGCTATTTTTTATCATTATAAAAACTACCTATTGGTTTCCTGTCCTAGGCAAAAAGGGGTAAATTATCACCAACTTCAAACGCTGAGAAGCATGTGCACCGGGTGTCTTGTTCGATCCACCAGTGTTCGTGAAATCGGCGGCACCTTCGCGGCTCACCTCGAGCAACACGCGTACACCGTACACTATGTCTTTAGACTATGTGCCGTAACATGACTAATAACTTGTTCGGTCGTTTTTGGCACATTCCAGGGTACCTGAAGTTTTGTTCCGATTGCAATCTATTGCAACGTACAACAATACCAGACAGCACAGTGTCCGACATTCCATTAAAATGCGTCACTTCCATTCAGGAATGCGTCACGTTCATTCAGGAATGCGTCACTTCCATTCAGGAATGCGTCACGTTCAAATGTTGTGACTGCACAGCGAGGAAAGCCAAAATAATTTCACTGACAAAAGAAAATGGGAGGGCTTATGAATGCTGCCTACTGGTCCTTGACTTCAGTAACGGTATGGCGAAGTGAATAGGTAGGTACACAGCACACAAAATATTGCATTGTTTATTGGTGTGATATACACTACTAATTTAATGAACATTTATTAGGGATTCTTAGTGAAAACCTAATGCAAGCTTATCCCGATACATCCGCGTCACCTTATCGTGGCATTTGACATTCGCCCGCCGCCCGAACGGAATGATGCTTTGGCCAAGCACCAAAAATTCGCCAAACCCTGACTGGGTTTACGCCAAGGTTCTGTGCCGACTGGACTGGCAATGCGCCAAGGGCTGGCTCCGGATACCCGGGATCGATGAGTCATTTGCCAGATGGTGGATTTGTCATGTAGTGTGAACTTCACCATCAGCGTGCAGACTCCTGCTGATTTTGGGTGGAAATCGTCGTGTGGGTACTGGGTGTGCTCATTGCTGGATGTCCGATGTGAAGCAACATTTTCAGCAGCAGGTTGTCACGAACTTGGAGGACCGTTCGAAGCCAATTCTTGACCCGAAATCCAATAGACGTAATTCACCTATCCGTGCTTCTATCCTCAGGATACTGAAATCCTTCTCCTCCACGCCGCAACCCCCCTCCGGGCTGGACAGGCAACTTTATCTCATGCGGGCTGCTCCCTTGGAGCGGCACCGCTGCTCCCGAGGGAGCGCACCCCGCAGCCATGTACAGTGAGTGCCTTGGGGCTGGGTGGCCTGTCCTCTGGACGGGCTCAGCCCCGGCGACTCACTAGGGTGCCTGCCCAGACCAATGTCTCCCCCTAATTCCTAACATCCTTCCGGCTCTGCAATGGTCTTGTCGACCGAAAGGGCCTAACCCAACAAAACAAACAAACAAACAATAGACGTAATTCCAAACTGGACACTACCACCGATGGTGACACGTTCGCATTGGCTGCGCATTCGAAAATCTAAACAGAAAAGAACACGTGAGGCATAAAATCTCAAAAAAAAAATCACAAATGAAGGAGTGTTTAGTAGTGACGACGACCTAATAAGTACTGACTAAAGTATTGCATAGGTACTCGCGCAATGGCGGATCCAAGGAGGGAAGGGTGGGGGCGTTGGGGCTTCTACCCCTCACACAACATCCAACATTGACGGAAGTTACCGGTGTTCCTCGCATGGAAAGAAAGCTTAAAAACCAAAGAAAAAAGTTGGTTGTTAACCGCGCAGAACGACAAAAGGAAGTGAAATTCAACGATTCTTTTTTTTGTAAATTGGAGAAACCATTTGATGAAAAGGTATACCCACCCTGTATAGGTATTGTCTCAAACTCTCCTGAAACTACCATAGGTACTTGACACACACTATGACACATTCCAGCAGCATTGTCCCGTATATTTTTATCTCGCAGACGGCAGAACGGTAAAGTTGGCAGCGTTTTAGCGGTCTCAGCAGCGGTGAGTCACATCTGGCCCGGGCTGCCAACTTTGGCCAAATAACACCCGGGGCCAGGTGGTGAGGTAGCTGCTGGAGATATTTATCGATGAAAGAACCGAGGTAGAAACGCGAAATGAGCGCGATCACAGAACAAGTCCTCTACCTGTCGCCACGTTCCTGCGTGACTGAACTGCCGCACATGCCTGATCCTTCACCTTGGAACGAGTCCTTTTCTCCGGGAACGCAGTTGCAAGGTCAAAAGTGTGAATACAAGATGGCCATTTAGCTATTTGGGAGACGCGCATTGTACAGTCCACAGCACAAGTAATGTGGGGTTTCAGTCATGGGTATGTTCTGCTTCTGAAGCTTAGGAACGATTAGCCAGACTACAGTGAAACTTTGAATGTAGCTTATATGTATCGTCACCCTTGCAGCTGCAACTTTAGCTATTGACATCTTCTTTTCGATCACTCCGCATTAAACAATCGCCAGTCAAAGCCAACCGTTGAGATTGGTAAAACCCTACATTACTTTAGCGGTGGGCTGTACATACATACGGGCGAGACTGATGAACAAGCAATAATCGGATTCCCATGGTCGGTAGTCTAATGATATAATATAAAATGTGTCAATTTCATGCGGATTTCAGCTTTCACCTCAACTTCATGATAAGGACAGAAAACAAGCTGTACTCCCGCTATTCTGCATGCAATGCTGTGTCTTACGCCGGGTCTGGTGATATCCCACGAGCTATGATGGAATCCGAGAATCCAAGGGAAGTCCGCGGACATGTGAACTCACCTGCCGTCTTCCATTGCGCCGGCTCCTGGTGGATTCCGGACTCCGGGACTTGAGGACAGTCCGGACTCCCTGACTCAGGAACCTTGGACTCCAAGCACTGAATCCAAAGGCTGTCTGGACTCTGGAGCTTTGGACCTTTCAAGATCGGTGGCCAAACTCCTCGCGTTTCTCACTCGCCCCTTTACTCACTTCACTCGTCACTCGCTTCACCTCACTCGTCGCTACGCTGAACCTCTGAAACCACTCTCCGCACCACCCTCACTGCCTCGCGCCGTTTCGCGCCGGTTTGTTCACGCCTATCTCCGCTGGGTCCCGCTCTCGGGCTGGTCCAATGGTTCACTGACTGACTCGCGGGATCCGGTGGAGGCGCAGACCTCACGGACACCGACTCTGGCTCGCGTCGACACCGACTCTGGCTCGCGTCGACACCGACTTTGCCACCGGCGGCGGCGGCGGCGCGCCATCGGGCCGCCTATTTTTGGCGCCAACAGCCGGCGGTCGGCGCCAAAACTGGGGCGTGTTTGACTCGACCTACAGAGAGCTGAGGTGGCCGCCTGACCCGCGAGCCGGGCCAGTGGGACTGCCGTGACGGGGCGCCCTCCGCAGAGCGAGGGCCGCCTGAAACCTACAGGGCGCCCTCCGCAGAGGAAGGGGCCGCCTGAACCTACAGGGCGCCCTCCGCAGAGCGAGGGGCGCCTGAACCTGCGGGGCACCCTTCGCAGAGGAAGGGGCCGCCTGACCAGTGCAGTGGGGCCAGAGGGACTGCCGCGGTGGGACGGCCTCCCGGCACGAGCCTAACATCCGTACGCCTGACATCCACCCGCCTGATATCCGCCCGCCTGATATCCGTTCGCCTGACATCAGTCCGCCCGGCCGGGCTCTGGTCCGCCTGAAGAACGTTTTCCGCCTACCACTAACCATCTATGTACTTCGCGCCCCTCGTTTTTCGCCCATCTTCTCTCAGCTGCATGCGGTTCATGTTGAAGGGAGGAGAGTTCTGTGGAGGAATTGTGAAGGATAAAACTGAACTTTTTACGGGGACCAGATATTGTACTGTTCCCCAGCCCCTGCAGCTAAGCGGTTGGAATCCCACAGGCCACAGATTCTCTTCAACTGTTTGTCAATTGTCACATGGTGGTAAGTAATGAACAGTGGACACTTCAAACGTGCATCAGAGTTTTTTCGTGTGTATATTTAAATTTAAATATAACTACAACGTCATCCAAAAGAATCGGCGAACAGCTATGAGCTGGATGAACAAGATACTATAAGGCAAAGAGAAGGATAAGGATAGGGAAGATTGGATTAGGTACAGATCTGTGGGTGCTGCTGCTGCCTTAGCGTGGTGCTGTACACATCAACAGTCAACAGCATCAACAACAGCATCAACAGCACAATCAGCAGTTCAGGAGGTCGCACCGGGGTCCTACAACAGAAAATGGTAAATGTTCGGAATAATGTAATTGATATAAAGGAGGGTGGCGACTGGCGAGCCATCCTTTCAGGCACCTGTCAAATAACCTGACGACTTCACAGCAGCTCTGACAGTCTGTATTCTGACGACATTAAACCTAGATATCTCTCAGTGATAAGAGATCATACTGACTCAGAGACGCAAGTCAGTCGCGCCGTCAGTCATGCCGCTCCTCGCGGCCTAAACCAACATGTTTCCTATCACGCACCGCTCTACCAGACGGGGCTGGCACGCTGCCCAGCCCCCCCCCCCCCCCCGGAGCGGGGCGATCGCCTGGGGCCAACTAGGTCGCCAGGTGGCCCACTTCCTTTCCAAGGTCACCTCAGTACCCGCGGCGCGTGCGGATGGAAAATGAGAGGTAGGAAGCAGACAGCAGGGAATGACTGCGAGGCTATATGGCAAAACCTGTTTCAAAGGGATGCATTTGAAATTTAGGCGCATTTCAGGTGCATTTCAGGTGCATGAGGTCTAGTGCCAAAGTAAAAACACCATTCGAGATGTACTGATGATTTATTTGAACCCAATACCAGCCAGCACATTTCCTACGCGGACGTCATTTTTTTCTAAGGATGTTGGGGATATCCTTTTTCGGATATTGCCCTCTTACATTCCAATGCATCCCTACAATGAACATCACCACACAAAATGCAAACAAAATAGATTAGGTGATCTGCAATGTACGGCCCTCCAGGTATTGTAGGTATTGTAGGTAGTGGTTGGTTCCCAACATCACAATAATCGATCTGCATTGATGAATACGTCTAATGGCTGTTGAAAACCACTGCCGAAATGTGTGCACGAACCCTCTTCTCATTTCTATTGAGTCATTTTACAGGAGTGTGTCTGTCATTTTGAAGTTGTTACACCAAAAGCACATAGGCTAACCAACCACTCTTTTGCTGGAGGGCCCTATATTCCACATTGCACAACGCGCATTGAACAGTAGGTAATGGTAAAAGCGGCTCCAAGATCCTAAAAAATTGAAGATTTGACGCGTTTTTTTTTTTGTTGTTGAGCAGAGGAGCGTCATCTCGCATCTGGGGCGTTCCACGACAAATCGACAAGTGCCCTGCACCCTCATATTTTATTTTTTGCTTAAAATTGGTCTAATGGGTTGTGATGGGCGGGGAAGCCAGCTGTGACAAGGATTTTTTTCTTCGAACAACGGTTTCCGAGATATAGCCTCGGGCAATTCCTGGAGGTCGCGCTGCAGCCCTATGTTTGGCGGCCTATAACTCAAAAACTATTGGTTTTCTACGATAAAAACTTTATATGGTTCAACTCACAATCAGCCAAAAAACATTTTGGCTATCTCGGATTTTCAATTTTTGAAAATTTTGATCACGTGACCTTTTGACCTATTTTTCGAAGAGTGACCTTGATATTTTCCCCACTGAAAGTTGCAATTTTGTCTGATGACGATTAAAGCCTTATCAATTGTCATTCATATGCGAAAATAAAAAAAGTGGATATCGCCCTGCGTTGACCTCAGGTCAGGTCATTTTTTTGACCTGTCCATTATTACGAGCGGGAGCGACAGCGAGATCTCGAGAATAAAGCAAGCTAGCGACAAGCAGTAAACGGTAAAGGGTACACACGGATAAGGTCTATAATTTTTACTGAGGTCATTTTCAGGTCAGGTCAAAGATGACGTCACAGGAGCAAAAAGGAAGTCAAAATTGCGGCACTTCATATATATCAAGTTTTTCTCGAATAACTTTCAAGGTATCCCAGCTAGGAACAAACTAATATCACCATCGTGATCCTCTCGTCGATCCGCATCGAAACATATGTATGTTGACCTCGAAAGGTTTAAAGGTCAAAAGTTGACCTTAGGTCACGTGACTTAAGGTCAACTTTTGACCTTTCGACCTTTCGAGGTCAACATACATATGTTTCGATGCGGATCGACGAGAGGATCATGATGGTGCTATTAGTTTGTTCCTAACTGGGATACCTTGAAAGTTATTCGAGAAAAACTTCATATATATGTAGTGCCGCAATTTCGACTTCCTTTTTGCTCCTGTGACGTCATCTTTTACCTGACCTGAAAATGACCTCAGTAAAAATTATAGACCGTATCCGTGTGTACCCTGCACCGTTTACCGCTTGTCGCTATCTTGCTTTAATCTCGAGATCTCGCTGTCGCTCCCGCTCGTCACGTGACCTAAGGTCAACTTTTGACCTTTCGACCTTTCGAGGTCAACATACATGTGTTTCGATGCGGATCGACGAGAGGATCACGATGGTGCTATTGGTTTGTTCCTAGCTGGGATACCTTGAAAGTTATTCGAGAAAAACTTCATATATATGTAGTGCCGCAATTTTGACTTCCTTTTTGCTCCTGTGACGTCATCTTTGACCTGACCTGAAAATGACCTCAGTAAAAATTATAGACCTTATCCGTGTGTACCCTGCACCGTTTCCCGCTTGTCGCTATCTTGCTTTATTCTCGAGATCTCGCTGTCGCTCCCGCTCGTAATAATGGACAGGTCATAAAAATGACCTGACCTGAGGTCAACGCAGGGCGATATCCACTTTTTTTATTTTCGCATATGAATGACAATCGATAAGGCTTTAATCGTCATCAGACAAAATTGCAACTTTCAGTGGGGAAAATATCAAGGTCACTCTTCGAAAAATAGGTCAAAAGGTCACGTGATCAAAATTTTCAAAAAATGAAAATCCGAGATAGCCAAAATGTTTGTTGGCTGATTGTGAGTTGAACCATATTAAGTTTTTATCGTAGAAATCCAATAGTTTTTGAGTTATAGGCCGCCAAACATAGGGCTGCAGCGCGACCTCCAGGAATTGCCCGAGGCTATATCTCGGAAACCGTTGTTCGGAGAAAAAAATCCTTGCCACAGCTGGCTTCCCCGCCCATCACAAACCCTTACACCAGTTTTCAACGAAAAATAAAATATGAGGGTGCAAATTTAATTTTTTATTTGTCGATTTGTCGTGGAACGACAAATCTTTTACGACGAGAACAAAGAAACAGACAACAAATTATCCCCAATTGTGTAACATGGAATTACAAACATCACTCACACACTTTATATACATAAATAACGTCAAAATTGACCTATTAAAAATGTGGTAACTGGTCAAATAATCTGAATAAATAACTACCAACCACCAAAAACACCCACCTAAGATAGCGCTGCCCGTAGATATCACTCAGATAATCACTCGCTCAGATGTTATCAGCTGAGCGAGGTCACTAAGCAGAAATGAAAACAAAACATGAAAATGTTTCCGTAAACTTATGAAAATAACGCCTCACACTTTTTCCCCAATTCCGTTTTACGAATTCACCGTCATAGGAAAAAAGAACTAGGTATAGGTACCTATCTTATGGTTTGCAGCGGCAAATGCAGCAGGAGGGGTACAGGAACCAATCAATGTAAATTCCCTTGCAGTCATTATTCGGGTCGTACGCTAGCAGTCTGTGATAGGTGTACTTCTGTTCGCAAATGCAGTCCCCCGAACAGTAGCTAGTGGTGGTGTTCCTGCGAACAGAAAACAGTCTGTGATTGGTGTACTTCTGTTCGCAAATGCAGTCCCCAGAACAGTAGCTAGTAGTGGTGTTCCTGCGAACAGAGAAGAGTCTGTGATTGGTGTACTTCTGCTCACAGATGCAGTCCCTCGAACAACAGCCGGTCGTGGTGCTCCTGAGAATAACGCCAAGAAGAGGAGTCAAAATACACCAGCCTCCTCGTAATCAGAACAATCAAACATACTCTTTTAAGCCACCGTCTGTTTTGCAAAAAGAGACGCCTAAGACGTTAAAAATCAATTAAAATGTTAACAAAGTAGGTACTGCAAATAAACACAGGTAA